GATGCAATGCAATGTAATTTTTTTTCTCTAAACGTACTCAAGTTTGCAAAAGTCCCCCCCCCCCCAAAAAATAAACACAAGTCCAAACTCCTAAACATGACTTCTTAACATGGATTATCCAAAAGAGGAATCAACACATCACCTGAAACCATCAAAATTTGTGTTAGAAAAGAAGAAGAAAATCAGGAGCAGAAGGTGTCATTATTGCATGTGTCTAAAATGTAGACCACCTGCTGCTGCAATGACAGCTGGTATGTATTTATCTACAGAGCTGCCATGATGTTCATGTAGATGCCACAATGGCAGAGGAAAAGCTGAGATGGAACTGAACCAACTTCTGCTTTAGAAGCTTAACACTGAAATATAATAATTTTTGCATTGCACTAATTAAAATGTGTGCAGAATCAATATACGTATTAAAACTTAAATAAACATTTATTCTGCTGTTCTCGTTTGGCACAAGGGCGGATTAATTGGAATAGCATGGACACAGTTCAATTCTGCAAAGGCAAGTACAGATTTTTCAGATTTGAATGGATATGGTCCCATAAATATGTAACAGACTCACCATACTCCTGCAGAGACTTGCAGGCAACATCTAAGTGGGTGGAGCCGAATGGGTTTCTGATAAACCTCCTCCTCCGCCGCAGGTCATCCTCCCAATAGTCAAGACGCCAGAAGTCGTGCAGCTGACTGTGACAGAGACGAGAAATTAGATTAGATGGAGCAAAAATGCCTCGGTGATGGTCTGACAGCAGCAGCAAATTTCTTATTGTGAAAATCATCTGTGTGACAAAGTCTGACCAGAGACAGTGGATTTTATTTGTATAAATAATTGAATTCTCCACTGACACCTCAGTAATTGGAAACTCTACTTAAAGATTTAGCATCATAACAGCAGGGAGCTACATAAAAATGCAGCACGCATAAATCAGTAACCCCCATTTACAAATACAGTATAAACGGTGCTGCTTGCCTTCTTTTTACAATGTTCTTTTACAAGCCTTGTAAATCAAAAGGTAGAAGCCTCAATGCAGACAGCGTGGAGTTTAATGATCGGGGTCTTAAGGCAGTTGAAGCATGAGCCTACATCCCCCACCTCCCCCATGCATATGTGGAACCATGATTAAAATAATGTGTTGAAATATTCATCAGAACCATTCCCAGAGCCCTGGAGCAACCCAATTGAAACTTGCATTTTTATTCATTATTAATAACAGAGAATTCGAGTCGTAAGGAAAAAAATGAAGAAAACAGTTACAGCATGTGGTAACCATCTTTGTAAATGATTATTCCAACATAAGTGAGGACCTGGGATAATTTTATGGCTTGCACTTAAAGCAAACCATTAAACGCTGGGATCAGCATTGGGTTTCTGGTGTTTATGTTTAATTTTTAAGACTTGTACAGAGGTTGCAGGGTTTGTGGAAAACCACATATCCTCCGCTGCCGGTGTTCCGGGAATTTCTCCTACCCCGTAAACCGTCCTACCCGTTGTTACTGAGCATGTGCGCGCATGCGCACAACACATAAAGGGAATGCTACTCCGCTGTCATATTTGCAGGAAAAGAGATAAGTAGTAAGTATTAATACTTTTTATTGACGTTGATATTTGATTTTTTGGGTTAGGGTTAGGGTTATGGTTAGGGTTAGGGTTTGTGTCATGTAAAACACCGTAAAATTATCCTACGGGTAGGACGTTTAAACCAAAGTAGGACGTTTTCTCAGAACACCGGTCTAGGAAAACAACTTGGGCCCACGTCAAATCGTGATAAGCTAAAAAAAATTCTGTAAATTGTCAAGCAAACATAGGCATGCCAAGTCGATAGGTGGCAGTAGTTCCCCAAATTGTCTGCGTCTTTGTTAAAAAAGTATTTCTTGGATGCGAAATAACTGGATGGAGGGAAATGACCATTCGCACCCTTTGTCTGTGGTCGTCTTCCTAAAGCAGTTAGAGCTTGTAACAACGAGCGAGTGTAAACACAGGTGATGTCAGAGCATTTTTGTCACGGGCAATGGCGTTTTGATACATTAAACCTTGGCTATCCACAAGTCCACAATCAAATGCTGAATGACTCAATATAGCGTCAAGTGCTATATAAGTGCAGATTATTTATCATCTCCACCATCATGTGGATGACAGGTCACACCATAGAAAAATATCTGTTTTGTGGGAGCTACACGTGGACAGTCTTAGTTTATCTTTAAGATGTAACTAAAACACTGGATGAGGTATTGTGTCTTCAGATCCAAAAGATTCTTCTGGAGTGTGTTGTTTGGCAGGCAGCCATGCGTTTCATTGCACATTTTCTGCCTCCTTCTGAGATTCTGTTCTGAAGCAGCCTAAACAGATTAAAGTGTTACAGGGGATCACATCGCAAAATACAGCCCCACCGCTCCATGGAAATAATATCTGCTAGTGTCAAAAATCACGAGGCTCAGGAGACTTAGCCAGGCCTTGACAGCAACAAGAGCTCAGTTTCAGTTAAATATCAATCAAAAGTGAGTGCGCGCGTACAGTCGAGGACATTGTATTCACAAACTATCGTGAGCTGCTGTATGCAAAGTAAGGCTGAATGCCTTGAGCTTGTCCCCTGCCAATCTCTCTCAAAGCTTAACGGAGACGAGGACAGATGTCAGTGGGTGGAAAGGAGACACCCACGTAAACGATATTGTAAATGCAAGATTACACAGTGTGAAAAAATGTAAATCCACCAAAAGCAACTGGGTGATTATTGTTGAAGATTATGTCCTCTAATTCTTCGAGCAAGAGCAGATGCCAGTAGGGGCTAAATCCGTTCTTTGAAGATTTCCTTATTACAGCATTAGCTGCATTAGCTTTCAGATGGATTGCTTAAGGTTGCTCATTTGAAGCCATAATATGTCGGTTTATCTTTACCAGTAACCATGCATACAGCAATAAACAGCCGTATGGGTAGTTTAGAAACGGGTTACAATTGGATCTCCAACAGAATCTAAACAAAAGACTTTCAAAATAAAATCTAAACACATTTATGCCAAGACTGAAGGAAATCAGCACTGTGATAATTAAACCTTTTGATCTTTTAGCAACTTCCTGTGTTAGTTAGTTTTTTTATGACATTTATAAACATTTGGAAAGTTCCTGGCACTTTTACAGGTAGGTGCCAGGTACTTTCAATCAGGTTTAATCACTCATGTTTTCACTTGCTGTTCTTGTTTAATTCTTTTATTATTCATTTGATGATATTGGATTATTCATCATCATCAACTTTATGTATAGAGCACTCTTTATTGACCATGGGGTAAACTAAAGTGCTGTACATGTACAGAGAAATTAGAACAACTATGAAACCTGCGAGGGCTAATGGAGATTTACATAAAAACAAATCTAAGAAAGAAAGAAAGAAAGAAAGAAAGAAAGAATGAAAGAAAGAAAATGATCTTTTATATAGGGCCTCTCATAATGAAAATCATGAGGTGCTTCGTAAGAACAAAAAATTTTAAACACAGAAATTCTTTGAAAAGTGATTAAAAATATGATAAAAATTAGAAGAAAAACATTTAAATGAAAAAATACAAATTTGTGAAAAAATGCTAAGCAAGGAAAAGGGAAATCAGTGGATCTCGGGAAAGGCGGAATTGGTAGACTGAGCGGTGACAAAGGCCACGCAAAAGCCAGCCTGAACAGGTGAGTTTTCAGCTGCGTTATGAAGGAGACCACTGAGTCCACTGATCTGACTCAGGGGGAGAGAGTTCCAGAGTCTGGGGGCCACAGCCTGGTGCTGCACAACCAGTAGGCTTTGGTCACTGGACCTCAGGGACCTACTGGGGGTGTAGGGACTAAGAAGATCACCAGTGTATGATGGTGCTTGTCCATGTAAGGCCCTATAGACCAGAACCAGGATCTTGAAATGAACCCTGAAGTTGATCGGCAGCCAATGAAGCTGGAGGAGGAGCGGGGTGATGTGGGTGTACTTTGACGATTTGGTCAGAAGGCATTCTGGACCACCTGTAGATGGTTCAGGCAGGTTTTGCTCTGATAAGTGAAAAGCGAGTTGCGGTAGTCTAAGCGTGAGGAGATGAAGGTGTAGATAACATTGAGAAATGAGATAAGACAACAGAATAAAGCAGGATAAAATATAACTCATCCATCCATCCATTTTCATCCGCATATCCGGAGTCGGGTCGCGGGGGCAGTAGCCTAAGGCGAGAGGCCCAGACTTCCCTCTCCCCAGCCACTTGGGCCAGCTCCTCCGGGAGAATCCCAAGGCATTCCCTGGCCAGGTGATAGACATAGTCCCTCCACCGTGTCCTGGGTCTACCTTTAGGTCTCCTCCCAGTTGGACATGGTCGGAAAACCTCACCAGGGAGGTGTTCAGGAGGCATCCTGACCAGATGCCTGAACCACCTCAACTGGCTCCTCTCGATGTGGAGGAGCAGTGGGTCTACTCCGAGCCCCTCCCCAATGACCGAGCTTCTCACCCTATCTCCTCTGCCTATCTCTAAGGGAGAGCACAGCCGCTCTTCGGAGAAAACTCATTTTGGCTGCTTGTATCCGTGATCTCGTTCTTTCGGTCACTATCCAAAGCTTGTGACCATAGGTGAGGGTAGGAACGTAGATCGACCGGTAAATCGAGAGCTTCGCCTTCTGACTCAGCACTCTCTTCACCACGACGCACTGGCGCAACGCCCGCATCACTGCAGATGCAGCACCAATCCGCCTATCGATCTCATGCTCCAGTTTTCCCTCACTCGTGAACATGACCCCGAGATACTTAAACTCCTCCACTTGGGGCAGGACCTCATCCCTGACCCGGAGAAGGCATTCTACCCTTTTCCGAATCAAGACCATGGTCTCAGATTTAGAGGAGCTGATTCTCATCCCAGCTGCTTCACACTCTGCAGCAAACCGCTCCAACGAAAGCTGAAGATCACGTTCTGATGAAGCCAACAGGACCACATCATCTGCAAAAACCAGAGACTTGACCTCAGGCCACCAGAATGGATTCCCTCAACACCTTGGCTGTGCCTAGAAATCCGGTCCATAAAGGTTATGAACAGAATCGGTGACAAAGAGCAGCCTTGGCGGAGTCCAACTCTCACTGGGAACGAGCCCGACTTACTGCCGGCAATGCAGACCAAGCTCTGACACTGGTCATACAGGGACCTAACAGCCTGTATCAGAGGTGTACCCCATACTACCGGAGTACCCCCCACAGGGCCCCCCGAGGGACGCGGTCAATCGCCTTCGCCAAATCCACAAAACACATGTAGACTGTTTGGGCAAATTCCCACGCACCCTCCAGGATCCCCCTAAGAGTATAGAGCTGGTTCAGTGTTCCACGGCCAGAACGAAAACCACATTGCTCCTGCTGAATCTGAGGTTCAACAATCCAACTCAATTATGTAAAAATATAGCTAAAAAGAGTGATGAGGGAATGCCATAGCATAGGAGTCTTCTTCTGACTCTTTAAAACCGGTAAAGATGCCCATCTGACCTCCAGCAGAATGTCATTCCACAGCTTAGGGGCCAAGACAGAGATAGCCATGCCTCCTCTAGTCGTACATTTCACACCTGGAATGAACAATGAACAAATGCCTTAAGTCGTACTCTGGGGAAATAAGTTCTGGTGCTCCTGTTTCAGCACAGAGAATTCAGCCAGAGGAGAAAGTAGCATCATAAGTAAAGCAAAATAAAATAAAAACTGTTT